CAGATTTCCCAAGTCACCAGGAACTGGGCTCTTGGTAGCTCAGCCTAAGAATTAACTTGTTTTATTCTTTTTACATTTCAACTGTGGCTTGGCCTGTTCTGAGACTTTGAGGACATTGGCTACTTTAGAAGGTAGGGGGCATAGAAATAAATGACAGAATTTCTTTTCTCCCCCTTTCACTCTCTTTCCCTCTATAAAGAAATTGGAGCAAGTAAATCATTGGCAATGTGATTTCAATATTGAGACGTGTTTTGCAACTTGTTTCTACCTATTATGGCACGAATTAATTAAAAATTCAAATTGCATGAGAATTTTATAGATACCTTATATACTCAGATACATTTTTAAAAATTGTACAATATGGTATTAAAACCTTTTGAAATCTAATGCATAATAAAAAGTTTATCCTTTCATTAAATACTTTTCTACAACAGTGGCCTTTGAATTTTTTTAGTAGTGAATATTTTATTTTATTTTTTTTTAAAGATTTTATTTATTTATTTGAGAGAAAGAGAATGAGAGACAGAGAGCATGAGAGGGAGGAGGGTCAGAGGGAGAAGCAGACTCCCTGCCGAGCAGGGAGCCCGATGGGGGACTCGATCCCGGGACTCCAGGATCATGACCTGAGCCGAAGGCAGTTGCTTAACCAACTGAGCCACCCAGGCGCCCCAGTAGTGAATATTTTAAAGAAATGTGGAATCTTAATGGTTATCTCTTGCTGTGTAACAAATCACCTTAGACTTAGTAGCTTAAAAAATGACAATCATTTATTCCTTCACGATTCTGCAATGTCTACAGGCTCGGCAAGGACAAATTCATCTCTGCTCCGTATGCCAGATGTGATGGCTCACCATGGGGCCCTGGGAGCCATTTCTAAGGTGGCTTCGCTCCCACCGGGGTACAAGTTATGTAGGGCCCTGAAAGTCCCTTCATGGAGGACTTTGGCTTTTGCTTTTTATGAGATGGGAAGCCAGTGGAAGACTTTGAGCACAAGGGTGACGTGATATAAATCATGTGTTGACAGGATTAGCGGGACTACCATTTTGTGTATAATGGAAAAGACGGGTAAGACCTTTTAGGAAGTAATTGCCACCCAGGGGAGAGATAATGGTGGTTTGGACAAATGAGGCAGCGAGTGGAGCTGAGTGATTGGATCTGGATTAATATTCATCTCTGCTTCCTTCCACTTCTCTAATGATGTTATTATGATCTATGAACTTAATTTTGGTGTAGGGTTTGAGGTAGTCATCAACTAGACAAAGATTTCTGGAACGCTTATTCTTCATCTCATGCTTTTGCAGTATAGAAAATCCACTGGACACTCAAGAAGTAACTGTAGTTTGGGCCTGAACAATGAACTTAGCTCAGGTAATGTCTGAGCACCCACTGGCAAAGACACTAGTCCTGACCCTGTCCTCTGATAAGGATGTGACCCAGTGGATGCTTTGTAATTTAGATCCCTTCATAGGAGAGCCAGCTCTTCCCAGCCCCAACTGGAGTAGACTCCTGCAGTGGGTAGAAACCATATCTTAACGACCTTTTTGAGCTATCCCCCTCCCCTCAGAGCTGCCCAGCAAAGGCCCGACAGACCCAGCCAACAAACCCAGGTTGAACCAAACCGAATCCCATGAACCTTCACGGGGGGTGGAGCGATGTAGAGGGCGATTCCTAAGAATAGAGTCAATTCCTGGAGGCCTCTGAGTGCTCGTATATCCTCCTGGGCTCCATTTGGATTTTTTCTTTTCTCTTTTTCCCCTTTTGGGGAGCCCCAGTGTTCTGCAGCTGTTCCATCAGCCGGCACCCCGGCTGCCAGATGAACAGAACAAAAGATGGGACTCTGTGACTATTCACATCTGTACTTCTCTCAAGCAAACAGAACAGATGCCCTTAGCAACGGGGCTCTCTGGCTCGGGGCAGGGGAAATGTACCCTGAAGGGGGAAGTTTCCCTTCTAAGAGCTGACAGAGCCACTTAGCTCTGGCAAGGAACATCATGAAACAGAACATTAAACTTTGATGAACAGCAAAGCCTTGGAGGTTTAAGCTGGAAGTCAACAGAGATGTTCTAATCTATATAAACACTCTGTATGCAAATCCCGGGAGGATTGTGGGCCTTATTTGGATGGTGTTTTTCACTGCCTCTCTCAGGAGAGAAAGCTCTGAAGGCAAAAGGAGATGCTGTGGTTTTCTTGCGAACCCCAAGTGTGGGGAGCACTTCTTAGGAATTCCTGGCCTCGGCCAGGTCCCGCCCTCCTGTCTGTGCCCTGGCCTGGCTCTCCTGCATCCACATTCATGGCTTCTTCCTCATCTCAGGAGGGAGTCAGCCCATCATTGAGGGCCCTTCCTGCCCCTGGCCTGGGTCACCTTCTCTCTCCTGGACCAGAGTTGGAGCAGGAAGAAACCTCAGTAATAGCAGCTGCAAGGCAAAGTGGTTCTCTATGGGGGTCAGACACACACCACTAGACCCTACCTTTTTGTGGGATTCTCACAACACCCCAGGACCTCTGTGGTATTACCAGCCTTGTTCTACAGCCAAGGTGACAGAGGCTCAAGGCTGGAAAATCAATTGCCCTGGCCTCACAGGGATCAGTAGTAAAGCCGAGACTTGCCTCAGGCAGTCTTGTCTGAACTTGGATTCCTAACCATCAGACTCCATCTTGCCTGGAATCTCGCTTGGGGGATGGTAAAGAGAGACGAACTGCTTCAAGGTGGTAAGGAAAAAGAAAGCAGAGCTTCTCCCCCCTACATTGTAATTCACTTCTGCCATCTTCAAATATTGCAAACTCGCTTTTTTGTTGTTGTTTGTGGAGGTAAGTAGCACTTCAATTTCTCTATGTGGCTCTAGGGGCAGCCCTTGACTTAGACTGAGCTAATCAACATGCTAATCAAAATGCTGGTGACTATTACATGACCAAGGCAGGCCAATCAGAAGACTGAGGGCTTCTGTTTCAAACTGTAGGGAAGCAGTCTCACTTGTTTTTCTCTAATGGTGAGTCAGGGAGGAGGCAGCTTCTGCCGCTATTGGCAGCCATCTTGTGACCATGAGTAGAGATCCAGTCTGAGAATGGAGTCAACACATAAGGTAGAGACAAGTCGAGAGAGTGACACCAGAGCCATGCCTCATCCTTTGAGCATCTGAACCAAGCCATGCACTCTTCAGTTATGTGTGTTCATAAAATCTTATTTTTGCTGATGTCAGTTTGGGTCAGGCTTACTCTTACTTGTAACCAAAAGAATCCTGGTGGACACATTAAGCCTTCAGCAAATGTGTGGTTTGCGCCACAGTCTGGGCTCTAACTGGGCAATTAAGGAGGCCCTGAGTCTATGCGGGGAGCTCAGGGGCTTAGACAGAGCTGCGGCATCTTCAGATGTGGACCGGGGCCATAAGAGTATCAGCAAACACTTGTGTGGCCTTTACCAAGTATCAAGTACTGTTTCAAGTGCCTTTATCTGTATTTGCTAGTTTAACTTATCATTATCTCCACTTTTTTTAAAAGATAGGAACCGAAGGCACAGAGAGACTGGGGAACACATCCAAGATCACCCAGCTCCAGAACTGGGAGTGTGGTGGTGCTGGGCTCCAAATGCTGCAGTCTTGCTCTGGGCATGCTCTCAGCATTCGGCTCCACTGCATCTCATGACCAATGACAAGGGAGCAGAGACTCCAAGTGCATTCACAGGACACAGGAACATTCTTGCAGCATACAGTCTCTTAAAAAAAAAAAAGATTCTTGTACCTTAAAAAAAAAAATACAGAAACATGAGTGAAAATTCAAGGGCATTTGGTTAAGGAAATTCTGAACCACACAGCTAGAGACAAAGACTCTCATCCCTTTGGTTTTCCCTTAGACTTACTGATCCACCCATGACATTGAGAGGAACAGAAAACAGAGGGCCATGGACAGGCACTAGCTTGGCCAGCTTTGTGCAGAGCCATTGTTCTCCAGACTCCATTTACCTGTCTGACCCTGCCTCTTGTCTCTAGGGTCTGCCCTCCCCAGACCCTAGCAGTGGATCACTGAGCCCTCACCAGTAAGGCCTATCTGCCCCAATTTCAGAGGGAGCCACCCCTACAGCTGGAGGGAAGGCCTTGGCCCAGCCCTGTGGCAGCTTGGCCTCACTGAAGCTCTGATCCCACTCTGTGTCTCCAGCTAGTAGATGCTAAGTGCTCAATAAATAGAGGGGGGTGAGCACTGGGACACTGCTTTGCCCACCACTGCTTCCCCATGCCACCATGCCAACCTCCCCATTGAATTCTAGTTCCCCTTGTTCCCAGTAACCAAAAACTGCCTTGTCTTGAGCTCAACTATGTGCCAAGCACTGTCTTTAAGCACTTAGCATGCATTTACTCATCTAGACAATCTTATAAAGGAGGAATTACTGTTATTCCCATTTCCCAGATGAGGAAATGGAATCTCCAAGAGACCCATTGAGTGCACACAGCTGGTATGTGTTGGAACTAAAGACTGGGGGATGGTGCTTTATCCCTCATGGGCACACCCCTTGGGTAGTGACTGTCTCCCTAACTCCCTGCTGCTGTGAAGTGTTCCTTTCTCTTGGAAACACAGGTGCTGGCAGTTGCCTGAGTTGCCCCTGAACTGGCCTAGCCCTTTAGATGTGCTGTCTTGTTGACTATTACTGCATCATCCCCCAGGCCCACCTCCCTCCCCATCTTGGATTCAGAACAATCTCAGGTGGTCCTGATTATCTCCAGGTACATGCCTGGCATTTCAGGAAACCACTAAGCCTCACATTTTCTCAAATCCTGCTACCAGGAGAGCCTGTGCTGTGCTGAGTTCTTAACATTGCTCTCTCAGGTCAGTGAGATGAGCCTTCAGGCTCGTTTCCTCTTGTCCTTTGGGCAGGTTTGGGGCATAGTTGAATAGGAGCAAGCAGGATTGCTTATGGATTTCTCTCCTAGTGTCTATGAAATGGCTCGTGGTGCTCCAGATGGGTCACTAACATGAGGTAGCCTCTGGCCCCAGCCCTGGAACTCACTCTGAACATGATGGTTTGTACCTCTGCAAAGACTCAGAATTCCAGAGCGGTGATATTTCCTTGGCTGTGCTTGGTGGGGATTAGCACTCCCAGCCAACTCTTGATTATCTGTGGGAGAAGGGAGAGGATAGACCATTGACATTTCCAAATAACTCTGGAACTTATTCTGGCCAACAGCTCCAAGTGTCCCCTGTGTTGGATCTCTTTCCAGAGCATCCACCGAGAAGTCAGATCTATGGACTTGGCTTTCAAATCCTCTCCTCCTTTCTTCCCTCTTTTGTTTTGCCTTTTGTTTTGTTTTGTTTTGTTTTCCTCTATGAGAGAGAGGCCTCCAGCATTGGACAAGGAAAGAGAGGAGCAGCAAGAGGAATGATGTAGCAGAGTACTCTGTCGTAAATAATGGAAAATCCAACTCAAACTGGCTTAAATAGTAAAAGACGTTTATTTAGTTATATAAATAACTAAAAAGTCTGGTGGTTAGGATGACATCAGGTAGGGTTAGCTCCAGCAACTGAGAATACCAGGGCCATGGTCCTCTCTTTATACCTCCCACAGTGTGGGCTTTATCCTTAGATTTCACATGGCAGTCCCCTGGCACTTCTAGACCCTCGCTTCATGCTAGCAAATAGTTATGAAATGTCACACCTCACGTTCTTGGAAGTAAGATATCATGTCTTTTGGTAGCTCCTAAACGTGTTCGAGGAATATCACTCCTTCACTGGACTACACTGAGTTACATGCTCTTCCTTTAAACAATCATTTTGTGCCATAGGAGGGTTTATCCTTAATGACCTAAGCTAGTTGGAGTCTATCCCTGGAGATGGGGTAGGGTCAATCCCATCCAACACACACATACTGAATGCCCAAAGAGAAATCAAGGTACTATTGAGAGGAGGAGGACCAGATGCTGGGGAGGCAATAGGTCAACATCTATCATACTTGGATGATCCACAGACCATGTTAATGGCACTAAGAGACAGTTATACCTGATAGTGAAATGGGGTACACACTTTTCAAAGCCCTTCTCCCTCTTTTCCTTTATTAGATCTTCAGGAGAATTTGTGCATCAACTGCAATGGCCATACGTGGTTTTCCATGTTTTATAAATAAAGCAAGGAGATTTAGAGAGCTACAGTGACTTGCTCAAGGTCACTGGCCATACTTGGCAGGACTGGACTTGAACCCATGCTCTCTCTCTCTCCATCACACTGCGGTGGGAAGTTAGCAGCTAGGAGAGTGGGGTGAGCTCACTGAACAGTGTAAGCTGCATCTCTAAAGAAAGATTTGGTTAGAGTAAAGAAAGGTGCAAGGTCTATAGACTGGTAATTCAGACACAAAGTTTACTAGACCATGTGGGGTGGGACTAGCAGAGAGCCTAGAAGAGAAAGGGTGTGCATTACTCAGTGTTCTCCAGAGAAACAGAAACCATAGAAAGTTGATTGATCAATTGATTGGTTTTAGGAATTAGCTCACATAGTTATGGAGGCTGAGAAGTTCCATGAGCTTCCATCTACAGGCTGGAGAACCAGGAAAAGCTGGGGGTATAATTCAGTCTGAGCCCGAGGCCTGAGAATCAGGGGTTGATGGTGCAAGTACTGGTCTGAGTTCAAAAGCCTGGGACCCAGGAGCTCCAATGTCTGAGGTAAGAGAACATGGATGTCTTAGCTCAAACAGAGAGAGAATTTGCCCTTCCTCCACTTTTTTGTTCTATTCAGGCCCTTAACAGATTGGATGATGCCCACCTGCTTTGGTGAGGGTGATCTTTACTCAATCTACCTATTTGAATGAAAACCATTTCCAGAAACACTTCCATAGACACACCCAAAAATAATATTTTACTAACTATCTGGGCATCCCTTAGACCATCACAGAGTGAGCCAGGACACATGCATTAAAGTCGTGGGGACAAAATTTCCCTCAAATTGTATATATCGGTGAAGGTCAAACTAGGGTGAAAAAAGATTCCAGGAACTTGTGAAAGGAGAGAGACTTACAGGGAGAAGCCTGTGCTTTCTCTGGCCAGCCGGCTCACCCAACCCCACAGTCGCTCCCTTTTGTCCTATCTGCTTTTCCAGTTGCTCTCATGGGGAAACCTCATCTTGGTAATCTAATGGTGAGAGCTTTGAAGGCAGAAGTTCTGTCTTCCACCTCTCTCCTGATCCCATTTGTCAGGTTTCTGCTGGACAGACAGACTTGTTATTTCAGCAGTTTTATCTAGTTCTAGAAGTGACTTTGGAAGATGTTTACATGATACAGGGACAGTAGAATATAGGCTTTGGGGCTTGAAGTACTTGGATTTGAGTTTGAGATCTACTGCTTAGTGACTGTGTGACTTTGAGCAAATGATTTTATATTCGTGAGCTTGAATTTTCTCATCTATTAAATGTGTGAATAAAAGTCTCAAACCCTCAGGCAAATGAGGAAGTTAAACATGCTAAGTGCTCAATGACCAGATTAATATGTGAAAAGTGCTTAGATTAGTACCTGCCATAAAAGAGGGGGTAAAAAAAAAAGTTACCAACAACGATGATGAAGATGATGATTAAGATGTTTCTAAGTTCCCAGTATGACTAATTTTTCTTTTCTATCTAAGTAATCTAAATTTTTGACATGCCTGACCACCAGCAGGATGCTGCCTATGGCAATCCAGAGTGAAGGCATGCCCTGGGAGAGCAGCCTGCTTTCATCCAATGTCTCCTGCTATCTGGATTTGTTACTTCCCTCTACAGCTCCTTGCTTCTGGGTCACTCAAGGGGGACTGCCCTCCAGTTTCCTCACCATGGCAGAAGGTATGGAGGCTGGGGGTGTGGGAGTAAACAAGGAACGACTTGAGGGACCGGTCTGGGTGGCAGTGTGGGCAACACGGTTGGTTGGCATGAGAGAGGAAGAGCAGGAGGCCAGGGTATGGTGCCTCGGGAAAGAAAGGATCCTTTCGGTGTCTTGGATTGTGAAGCTGGGTCCATAGCTGACCTGCTTTCTCAAGCAGAGCTGCCCAGTTGGCCCTGAAGGAGAGACACCCACCACACCTGGGGCTGACCTCCTCAGTTCCCATAGCTTAAGGGTGCTTCTCCATCAGAGGCTGAGGCAACCTTCATGTGTGGCCCATGAAGGCTAGGACCATGGGCTCCCACTATTTGAGGCTCTCTCCTCATGGCTGAAGTCAGCTCCCCCTTCTTGAGGCTTCTGCCAAAGAGGACTGCTATATTCTGAATGTTTGTGTCCCTCTTCCCAAATTTGTATGTTGAAACCTATCCCCAATGTGATGGTATTTGGAGGTGAGGTCTTCGAGAAGTGACTAGGACACGAGGGTTCAGCCCTCATGAATGGGATTAGTACCCTTATAAAAGAGACCCTAGCGAGTACCCTTGGCCCTTCTACTGTGTAAGGACACAGGGAAGAGACACCATTTGTGAACCAGGAATTGGGCCTTCAACAGACACCAAATCTGTCAGCACCTTCATCTTGGACTTCTTAGCTTTCAGAACTCTGAGAAATAACTTTCTGTTGTTTATAAGCCACTCAGTATTCTGTTATAGCCCCCCAAATAGACTAAGATAAGGATGCACCGAAAGACATTTGGAGAAGCACAGAAGGGGTGAGCCGGCAAGAGATGAGCAGGCCCAGAGCCTGGGCCTGAGGTCAGATCACTTGGCTTCAAATCTCAGCCCTTCTGCTTGCAGCATTCGTGACTTTGGGGAACTGTCTAACCCACTTGAGCCTCTGAGCCTCAATTTCCTCAGCTGTAAAATAAGGATTGCTAATATTTGCACCCTCTGTCTTCCACGGTTGTTTTGTGCCCACCGCTTCCTATTAGGAAAGTACATGAAATGTCCTCAGCTTCCTCATCTGTAAAATGGGGTTATGAAGCCTCCCGCAGAGGGTTGTGGTAAGGCTTAAATGCAGCGAGGAATGCAAATTACTCACCTCAAGGTGGCTATCAGGATTGCTAAACTCCAGGGTGCTTTTATATCCTGGGTTTGGGAAGAAGTCCCATCACCTTCCCGTGATTGAGAGCAACTTAGACATGAATCTAGGCTACCTGTGGGGTGCACTGAGGGTGCTGAGGGGAGCGGGTGCCTCCACAGTCCACAGAGCCCTGGAGGCAGAATTCACAAAGCAGGAGGAGTGGTTGGGAATCGCAAAGTGGAAATGCAGGGAGGGAAGAATCAGACAATGGCCCATCCTGTTGACCTCAGGAAGTGGGGTGGTGGCACTTGATTGCAGAAGAGCTGCTGTACCCAAGGCCGGCTGCCACCCTGGCTTGGGTTGCTGTCCTTCACAAGGAGGTTGTTGAGCTGAGGATGCTTCGTGCCAAGTAGACCAAGGATCCCGAAGGATCTTTTCAAAGATCCTTGTTAAAATGTACATTTCTGCCCTCTCCCCACAAATCAGAATGGACCAGAAAGGTTCTGGGAACCTGCATTTGCAAGGAACACCCAGGATAGGTCTTCTGACTTGAGAAGCATGAACCAAAGGGACAGAAATCAAGCATTATACTAAACACTAAATTCTCTTAACACCCTTTCCATAAAACAATCCTCTGCTCTCATGGCTGGCTTCATGGGCATGTTTAGAAGGGCCCATTCTTGGTTTAATGTTCTGCTGTCATCATCTTGAAATTCTTATTTTTGAACAAGGGGGCCTCACATTTTCATTTTGCACTGGGCTTCACAAATCATGTAGCAGGTCCTATTCACAATATAGATGAAAATTACAGAAAGGATAGACTTGCCTGAGGTTACACAGCCAAGTTGTGGAAATGGGTTTGGAATCCTGATATATCTGATTCCAAAGCTCTGCTACCCTATGACTTTAAGACTCAAAAGAATGGACTCTAATAGTGGAGTTTCAATTTCAGCCACCTTATCAGGTCTTAGGTTGAGGGGAGGGACTGCTCTGGGCACCCATAAACTATACTAGGTAGGTTTTCATCTATGCTACTACCCATAAAGATAAGGCTAATGTATAAACTCACTCAACTTCAGGGTAGGGAAGATTTTGTGTAACTTCAGGATGACAGCTCCTGTTGGAAGAATGTGGAGAATCCCTCTCTTCCCTGTCTCTCATTTTAGCTTTACTATACAGCGAGGATAAGGCAATATGGTGGA